TGAGTGTTTCTACCTACGAAGGAAACACACCCAGTGAAGGAAGCCCGAGTATAAAAGAAGAAGGACCCCAATAGGGAAGGGGGCCAGAAAATTCCAAAGGAAAAAGAACGAGAGAGAGAGAGATAGCATTCATTGTAAACTATGATCTCCACAAAAGAAATATAATATATACAGTGGATGTAGCTCTAATTTTATAGAGTGAACCACTATAAAATTCTTCTTGTTCATTTACATACAGTTCATTCAAACACAAAAATACTTAAATCAAACTAGAATCCACACTTTCATTAAACCCACAAGTCGGTAATCCATAGGGTAATCCCAAGGTAATCCGGCGGGTTTATTGTTGACGAAATCCAACCATCAGCATTATCAGTGGCTATTACTAATGCAAAGGATATTAACCAACTATATTAATATTATGCTTCTTTATATTCTTTTCCCATGTACTTATACTATTTTTTAGTGACATATTCTTATTTTATTGCCTACAGTAACTAATGATATAATGGTTATCACAATATAACTTTATTTGTTCATCACAGATTAATGAAAAAATTCAAGAGTTGAACAATGATTGCCATATAAAAATACCATGATATTGATACTTTATGAATCTTCTTTTGGCTACTACTTTTTTCGTTCTTTTTTCCCCCTATACTTTTTTCCTGCCTTTTTTCTGTTTTTGTTGATTTCCATTGATTTAAATATTACCAGGGCCGTTTTTTTTATATATCATCACTGACTATTACTAATGCTAAGTATATTAACCAACTATATTAATATTATGCTTCTTTATATTTTTTCCCTATGTACTTGTGCTATTTTTTAGTAATATATTCTTATTTTATTTTTAACTTCATAAATGAATGATTTCTACATTTTTCCTCCTATGAAATTACAAAGTTATAAAATAGAAATACTTTACGTGTTAAATTTGCCAACATATATGAACATATGTAGGTGTTAGGTTTTTTCCTAACATATGACAATATGTAATAAATAATTTAATTTATTTAATTTTTTGCCTCTTCTGTTTACTTCCTAAATGTTTTTATATGATAAACATAGATGAATAGGAAAAAAATTCAAAAAAGATCATCACGACAAACTCAATCTATGCGCCGTGCCATTTCTCTAATAAGCCAAGAGTCTGCAAATACAACTAATAATCTTCAAGCTAATTTTTTCCGTATTCAGTTGGTCATTTTCTTAGTGGGTTTGGTGCAAGCTTCTGTTGTTCCCCTTTTTTCTTCTCTTGCTGATTTTTACTGGGGCTTTTATTCATGTTCAGTTCTTTTCTCTTGAGGATTGTGAGTTTTTCCTTCTATTTGTTGATGTTGATTTTGCGTTGTTCAGATTTAGGATTTTTAGTTTTTTTTTCTTCTGTTGTATTCTTTGCACATTTGATGTTTTGAATTTAGTGCATTTTGTTTCTTATGTTTTTTTGGGGTTTGCCAGAAAAATAATTTTTATTGTGTCGGTTAATTTGCTGAGTTTTTGTTTTTCCTCAATAAAGGTAATTGTTGATAAATGCTAAATTTTCTACGAATGCTTAATTTTTTTGATGTGCTTATTTATTTTTGTACGGATGAATCCCTATGTATATATCTTCATCCTTTTGGTTGCTGATTTCCATAGGTTAATGCCTGATTTTTCTGGATGTTTCTCACATCTGATTTGCGGAGATAATGTTTCGTTCCTTTTGCTTGGTCATCTGCATTTCGTCCAGATAAGTTTCTTTTGCATTTATTGATTTGGTAATGTGTAATGGTGATATGTAATCTTCACTTGCTTCGTTCGTACTGTTCCTGTAATACTTTGTATCATCTTTCTTGTAGAGGCATTAAATGTAATTGTGATATTTTTACTTGTTTTTGCTCTCTGTGAATTTTTTTCCCTCTTTTACAATTTCTTTGTTTGTTTTTGTACTGCTTATTTTTCAGATTTTTTTTTTGCTTTTTTTCCCTAAATGTTTATTTCTATATTGCTTTTATTGATTCATTTAAGAAAAAAACTTTCTCCGTTTCTCGCCACCGACTATGAAGTAATAGCTGTTATTTTGTTATTGGTTGCTGTTTAAGTCTGTCTTATTGATTTTCATATATATATATATATATACACACACACATATATATGTGATATTGTACTACTTTAGGCCGTTCCTTTTGCTTGGTAATCTGCATTTTGTCTAGATAAGGTTTTTTTTTTTTTTTTTTGCATTTATTGATTTGGTGACGTGTAATGGTGATCTGTAATCTTTACTTGCTTTGTTTGTACTGTTCCTGTAATACTTTAAATCATCTTTCTTGCAGAGATATTAAATGTAATTGTGATATTTTTACCTGTTTTTGCTCTTTCTGTGAATTTTTTTCCCTCCTTTTTTACAATTTCTTCGTTTGTTTTTAAACTGCTTATTTTTCAGACTTTTTCCTTTTTTCCCTTTTTTTTTGTTTTTTTTTTCACATGTTTATTTCTATATTGCTTTTATTGATTCATTTAAGAAAAAAAAACTCTGTTTCTCACCACCGACTATGAAGTAATAGCTGTTATTTTGTTACTGGTTGCTTACTATTTAAGTCTGACTCCTTGATTTTCATGTGTGCATATATATATATATATATATGTAATATTGTACTACTTGGCTTATTACTACATATCAAACCTTATCTTGATCTACTTACTGCTCTATTGATTTTGTTCTATCCCTTTCATTCCTGTGTTGTTGGTTGATATTGCTTGCGTCAGATAGTATTGACCATATTTCAGGTATGATTAATATTGTTTGCTCATGCGTTTTTAATATATTTTTATGATCCTGAATATATTGATTTTTCTGGATATTATCTATTTCTCTTATTTCTGCCATTATTTGAAACCCTCCATTGTTGTTGTAAATAAATGTTAAAAAACCTATGTTGTTTTTTTTCTCAGTTTATTACTGACATATATATAGACATGGCTATTACTTTTTGAGTTTCAGTAGCATGCAGTATTGAGACATTTATATATATATATATATGTATACTTATTCCTTATCTACTTCATTGTTGTGTATATATATATATATATGTATTTTTATTTAACGAATGTTGTCTTCATTTGATTTTCGTAAGTGGCAATATTAATTATAGTAGATTTTTATATGTTTGGTTTTATATCATCTTCTCAAAAATTTGCTACCAATATGCTTTACTGAATTGGATTCTTTATAGTTTTTGATTAATATGCCTGGAGTATGTTCTGCTTTTTCCCTCTTTTTTTTGTTTTTTTTTAAATTTTGACTTGGCCTGATAATTTTCCTCCGGTGGTTGCTGTGGTTCAGTTTAGTTTACTTGGTCGTCAATTTTTTAAGCTCCCTGACTTTCATGTTTGTTTGCTTGGCTGGTATTTCGTCCTTAAAGCATAATCTAGAGTATTGCAGGTATCATCTGTAACTCTTTATCATAATCTTTTAAATTCTTTTGTTTACAATAGATGTATTGATTTGTTATGGTGCCATTGCTTTATTTTATTTGTTATAGTGTTCTTCAGGATCTATCTTTATTATTATGATTGTTTCTGTGTATGTTCTATCACTATTTACTAATGGTTTTAATTGTTTCATAATGACATTTGTTCATATTTGTGTGTTTACTTAAGATATTTCATCTTTATCTTATTTTTATACGATGTCATGATGAATAAAGTTGTTTTGTGGCTGCAAAGTGTTGTAAAATTCGTTTAAAAATTACTGTCAAGAACATTTTTTATTTCGATTGAGGCACTCTCCACTTCTTATTAAAACTACTTAAATAATAATTTGTTGGCCCTTTTTTTTTATTGAGTCTGTCCTAATTTAAAAAAAATAAAAATTCCATCTTTTCTTTACTTCAATGCATGTTTTATATATCCCTGTTTATTTAATTGCTTGACAATATTTTTTTTAACTATTTTTAAAATTCCGTTTCGATTTGTATTTATTATATCTTATGTTTAATTCATTCTGTTTCATACCAATAATGATTATAATTGATTTTCATCTGTTTGATGATGTATAATTGTTTTCAAAATTATTGTGCTCATATTTTGCTTACTTCGATTGTGATATTGTCTATGATTCGGATATATTATTTTAGTTCTCCTTTCATCTTACTCTAATGCTATTATTGTTTTCGTTGCTTTTCTTGACATTGGTTTTGATATGTTATTATATTAATTTGTAGCTATTTAATTCCTTCTCAAATTCACTTGGATATGGTTTGTGCTTCTCAATTCTGTCGTTATATATAGTTTTGAATGAAACTATATCAATTTTTTTTGGCTACATATTTACAAATTAACATTAATTATTAATAAGTATTATACTTGAATATTTATAATACACATCCTCATCTTTTATTATGATTCCAACTCTGAATTAAGACCACCAGAGCAATCTAGAAAAAGAACAAGAACCAGGTAATATCACTAGTTCTAAATATTAAATTAACACTTTATATAACTAAAATTATTTATATCTTCTAAAAAATCAGCAATAATTTTTTTTTTTAATTTTAATTTTTATTTTGCAGCTCTGAAGAAGCATAGAAAAAAGGAAAACAAACAATATAGAATCCTACAAAAAAGCTTTTGTTAAACATATAATATACATATATCTATATATATGTGTGTATACACTAATACTGTAGTTGCCTTAATCTAAGACATTTTTTCTTTTCTCATTATATCATTTATTTTTTTATTTCATTTTCATGCTTTATTTTGGTAAACAAAAAATTCCCGTATTTTTTTTTGTTCTTCTTTCGGCCTTATTTTTTTTACTTTGGTTTTTATGATTGCTTTGAATTTATTTGAGATTTCCTTCTCTGACTAACATTTTTTTTAGGAACTTTTGCAATTAATTGTAGATTTACTATTGCACATCTCTCTGTTATTTATTTTGTTTTTGCTTTGCAGGTTTGTATGATGACGAGGCATGAAATAATTAAATGTCTCTATTTTTATTCCTTTCTTTGATGGTCTAATGTTTTAAGACTCCTTTTTGTTGAGGTAAACATTGAATTATTTTTTCTCTATTCCGATATTTGTTCAAGATGTTCATTGGTTTGTTTTGGACATGGTTTTTATTGTTCTTCTTCTCTTGTAATTCTTTGTAATATATATGTTATTTTTTACTGTCTTTTGATTATTGGTTTTGTTTACGTTTGGTTTTCATGTTCCGTGACATCTATTCTTACTTAGCGTTATTTTTTCCGTCGGTCATTTGCGATTTTGGCTTTGTTGGTTTGACTCAATATTTTTATGTGGGTTGCTTTTTTCTCCTTGGCTGCTTCGTTTCGTCGCTGCTGAGTCATCAAAATCTAACAATTTTGTCAAAATTTTTTCTATATTCTTCATCTTTTGGTTTCATGGATTTTTTGTGCAGGGATTGCGTATTGATTGTTCGTCCTTCTCTCCGGTTGATTTCATGCCGCATATGGATAAATCTTGATTTTTTTCTGTTTCATTTATTGTATTGATGAGGTGGGCTCTGTATAGTGGTGATTTATCTTGCCAGCTTGATGATTTGTACCGATTTTGCTGCAGAGGTATTAAATGCAATTCTAGAACAAAAAAATTTCTTTCCCCTTTTTTTCGCCTTTTCTATTTTTCCCTTTTTTCCCTTCTCTCAGGCGATTATTTTTGAAACCCTGTTTTTTTTCTTCTTTTTTTGTTATCATAAATACCTTATTGTGTTTTATCTTCTAACGAGGAAATTTTGATATTTTAGTCTTTGTAAATTGATTATCTGTTATTTCGTGTTACATTGCTAGAGGTTGTTTACTGTTGATTTTTGCTTTTCTATTTCTTATTTATGAATGTTGTTGCTCTACGCGAATTTATCATGTCTATTTATGTTCCTCTCTCTTGCATTTAACATTTTCTTTTTTGCTTTCACTTGTGATCATTTAGTGCTCTCCTTTATTTCTGTATCTTTCACTACTTGTGTTCATCTTTGGTTAGGTCATATCTCACGCTTAGGGCAGTGTTTCTAACGCTCCAGGTACTATTAATAACTTCTCCCAATAGCTCTTTAATGTCTTTTGCTGCTATTGAATACATTGGTTGTTTAAATTGGCTTTTATTGTCAATAAATATTGGTAATCTGTTTCTATGTGTTTTGTTTTGTCTATGTTTCATCAGTTAGTAGTGCACAAGTGTTGACTTCCATTTTCTTTGTTTTTTAGTAACATGTTTCTCCTAATAGATTCTTAATACTTTTTTCTATATTGAACATACTGCTTTTCCTGTGCCATTATTAATATTTACTGTATTTCTTTCAAGTTCCTTTTACTGTTAATAACTATTACTGATCTATTTATATTTTTTCCTTTTGTTATGTACTTCATTAGTCAGTAGTCCTTAGTTGTTAGGTTGCTATTTATTTATCTCTTAGTAATGTACTTAGAGACATATTTATATTTCATATGTTTTAGTTTTATTCTCTTCTTTTTTAATGGCAATGATAAGTACAATTGATTTTGACGCTCTAAACTTAAGAAGATTGAATATTGCCTACTCAGTAATAGAAAAAGGATGCAAAAAAAAAAGGAGCAAAGTCATCATAAAAGCGTAATATGTATAGTAAACTAAGTCTAGATGAATAATAGAAATATTTCATTCAATTGATTTTTAGTTCTCTTCATTTTTTGGCTGAGGCTTTTAGTCAATTCAATTGATTTTAGTTCTCTTCATTTTTTGGCTGAGGCTTTTAGTCAATTCAATTGATTTTTAGTTCTCTTCATTTTTTGGCTGAGGCTTTTAGTCAATTCAATTGATTTTTAGTTCTCTTCATTTTTTGGCTGAGGCTTTTAGTCATTTAACGTACATGAGGTTATAGCATCTCTCTCTTCCTCCATTTCTTGATGTTCTTGACCTCTTCTACCTTTTTTCTCGCTGTTTTGGCCTGCTTTGCTTTTTTCATTTGTTTTTTGGTTTATCCCTACTCCCTATATCTAATAAGATCTCTCTTTTTTCCCTCACACTTTTAATTCAACTGGTAGTCGTTGGACAAATTTATATTTGACTCTGGTTGCCCATACTCGGTGACATACATATTATATTTGTGTGATGGATACAATATCTTATTAATTTTTATGCCTTTGTGCAGTTACCCTTAGTAGGCAGCCACAAAATGACTATAAATATATAAGTTTATTTATTCATCACACAATGCTGAGAATGTATAATATCTGAGCTATATTTTTTGCATAAAAATATTGTCACATTCATATTTTATTACTATTTTTGATTGTCATTTTCATCTGTTCATTCGTCTATTCATTTACTTATTTATCTATATTGTTTCAGATTTTATATCATTTAGTACTTTAACTTCCTACTACTGCATCCTTCTTATTGTTCACATTTACTTCGTCGGTGTTTAGGATTTGGGGCAGCACTTACAGCGTTTGAAGTATTCTTAATAGTTTTTATCCGCAGGTTTTTAATAAGTGTTATTGGTACTTGATGTATGAGTTTGTTGTGGAAATGTACATGTCCATTCTTTATGCTTTGCTATATTTATTTGCATTTGTCTTCGTCATTTTATTGATACATAATTCTGATGTAAAATATTAAGAAAAATTTCCTCTTATTCTTAAGAAGTATTAGTAATCTACACCTTTTTAATCTTCCATTTTATAACTAAATAAATTTTATATATGAACATACATATAAATCTTCACTTAACAAATTCCAGTTTTAAGTGGCATTTTTGTGTGGCAATGACGATTACAGTCATGTTAATATAGTAGGTTGTTCTTAGACAATTTTACATAGCTTTCCCCTTTTTCCTTCATTCCTTCTCTCTGCAGTGAACAAGGAGTTTTTTGTGTCACTTAATACATTCCAGTTTTAATTGACATTTTTGCATGGCAATAATGCTTACAGTCATGTTAACTTACTAGATTGTTCTTAAACAATTTTACACAGTGTTCCCCTTTTCCCTTGTAATGACTGAGAAAATCCTAGACTTTAAATAATACAATTTATTTATTTAAGTCAAGGATTTTCTTAGAAAATATTTTGTGACTGAAGAATTTATGAAATTAATATCTGTATTCTTAAATTCTGTAGCAGATTTCATGTTTTCGATCAAGTAAATTTGATCGATAAATTCTCGCCGTACTTTAAGGCGGAATAATTTTCAGTACAGGTATAGTTTGAGAATCTTAATTTCAAGAATCTCCAAACACAGCATGATGTTAGCCGCGTATAAAAAAACGCACTGACATTTTAAAAGAAGAGAATCTTTAATTGCCAGACAACTAGGTTAAGGTCATAAGATAAATACCTATAGTAGAAAGGTACAACGTGAGCTCGGGAGTTGACATCGTCAGAAACAATGTCATTCTCGGGATATAATGTAGAAAAGATAAATTTAGAATTTGTTCAGTCTAGAATTAATTTCAAGACTTGAAACAGTTCAAGATATACGCGAGTAAGAATTTAATGTGATCTCAAAGTAGTTGAGGATTTAACATTGAACTGTAAATAAGCAGTAGAAAAAGGAACCATCAGAAACTAGAATTTCCTGTCGGCTAAGTACTTCCTTACAGTCAGTATGATTCTTATCTGATTCAAAGGAAACTTAAGAGATGAGACAAAAAGTACAAGAGGTAGGTTAGGATTTGGTAGGATGACATATGTGATTTGATAGGGGTAAGTGAAGATAAATCATGACATGTGATTTGGTGGGAGTTAGTGAAGAGAAATCATGACCTATGTGATAAAAATTTCTCCTCTCATTTTTCCCACACTAGAACCGGCTAAGCTTAGGAAATGAGAGCCAAAATTGGCTAGTGGAGTGTGCTAGAAGATTTCATGGTAAGGTGATGTAATAGTAGTGGGTGAAGGGGAAATCATGGCATAAATTGCTTCTCCTTTTCTCCATACATAACCGGCCATGCACAAGGAAATTGGAGCCAAACCTTGGCTAGTTGAGTATGCTAGAAGGTTACATGTTAATGTGATGTGATGGGGTTAGGTTTCATTTTTCTCTCTCCTCCCCTCACTTGGCCGGCCAAACTTAAGGAATTAGAGCAAAAAACTTAGCTAGTTGAGTGTGCAAGTGGATGACATGATAAGGTGATGGGATAGAAGTGGTTGAAGGGGTAAATCATGGCAAAATTGCTTCTTCTTTTCTCCATCCACAACCGGCCAAAATTGGGGGATTTGAACCAAAAATTTGGTTGAATGATGGAGTGAAATTGGAGTTAAATAATGATCACAAAGTTAGCTATAAAAGGAACCAACATATGATAGGTCTCATTTTTTTCCTCCTAGCTTTTCCCTCCTCAAAATCCGGCCATACCACACTCCTCCATTCTCTCTCAAATATTTTCTCCCACTCTCCTAACCTTAATCCACTAGCAAACCATAGAAGAAGAAGAAGAAGATCAAGGGTTCTAGGAGGAGTTTAGTCAAGCATTTCTCTAATGGTATAAACTATAAACCCTCTCTTTTTATGCTCTAGTAAAGTTTGAGATATGGAGATATTTTTCTCAAATTTTCTTATACTCCTCTAGTTCCAAGCCATTAACAAACCTTGGAGAAGAAGAGAAGGATCTCAAAGGTTCTCAAGAAAGAGTTCTTCAAGGGTAACTTTTTGAACTCTTTTCAATTATTTTCTAGCAAAGTTTAAGTTTGAGAATCCATTGATGTAAATTGTGATTCTCAAGGAAATAAGTTGTAATAAGGGTGTGTGAGTTTTATGTTGGTTTTGTGAGTTATGAGGTTAGTTTGATGTAGTATGCTTATGCTCGATTTAAGTTTACTTATTTTCGGTTAGAGGGAAAAATTTCCGGTTACTTTGAACTCGGGAGTGAGAACCCTAGAGCGAGATTTTTAGGTGTTCCAAAGCTTGAACTTATAGTCTTCGATGTTTTGAACATTTTCTGTGGCTGTGACAAAACCCCATTTTAACTCTAAATGCAAGTTTTAAGCCATTTTTTGAAAACAGCACAGACAGTCCAAAACAGTTTCGGGAACAAAACTGGTTCAGCCAAACGAGACCTTTAGAGGCTGAATGTCAGTTTTTCATAAAAATGACAATTTTAGATTTCAACGAGATGAACAACTTTCATGAAGAACATATTTTCAAAACTTGAACCTAAGATGTAGTAAAACACCGATTTCTGAAATGACACAGTTTTTAGACTAAAACAGTTTCAAGAAAAACAACAGCCACTGTTTTCAGCACGAAGCCTTTAGAGGCTGAATTTCAACTTTCTCCAAAAACAGAAATTTAAGATCTCGACGAGATGAAAAATTATCGTGAAGAATAAATTTTCAAAATCCGATTCTAAGATGTAGTAAAACATAGATTTCAAAAATTGCACAGTTTTAACGAAACAGAACTAAAACAGTGTTGGTTTTTAACAAAAGGTTATCAAAGAACCCGAGATGTGATTTAAGTAAAATACTATGGTGTTAAACCTCATTTTCGTAAAGAAAGCTTTCAAGAAAAAATGCTTTCTTTTAAAGTACTTAGTGGTTTATCAAGTAAATAATCCCGACGGGCACCTACGAGCCCAAATCGATAGGTCCGTAGAATTTTGAAGGTTTGATATGGGTCCAACGCCCACATTGATTTAAGAGACTCTGTTTGAGTTTAAATTTTAACGGCCCAAGAGTTAGAATGCCGTGAATAAGTTTCTAGGCCGAATTAGGCCTTAATATCATAATAAGTCCAATGAGAAAAATTGTGGAGAATAAGTTACTAGATTGGGTACATGATTTTCAATCTAGACATAAATATGATAAGGGTAATTAAGGAAAATATGATTTTGAGGATTTAACAAATTGATCCTTATAGTAAATTATCCTTCAGAAAAGGAAAGGAATACCTGCCTTAAGAAAAGGGTTAGATTCCTTCATAAGTTCCTAAAATAGAATAGCAACGACAGTTAATCTCACACTATCAATGGGTGTTCATTTTCAGAAATAAGCAAGTAAGAGAATAGACTGTTTCGTAAAAAGTGGATTCCAGCTCTGTAAATTAAGTAAGTAGGAATCTCGCCT